CAGAGACACAGAGCATGAGATTCAGAGGACATGGAGGGGGACAGAGGATGACAAGGGTGAGATGTGGAGGGACAAGACAGGCAGGGCGACAGAGGAGGAGGGTGAGCTGTGGAGGGACACAGGACAGGGAGGGGGACGGAGGAGGAGGAGGGTGAGCTGTGGAGGGACACAGGACAGGGAGAAGGACAGAGGAGGAGGAGAGTGAGCTGTGGAGGGACACAGGACAGACCGAGGGGGAGGACGATGAGCTGTGGAGGAACACAGGACAGGGAGGGGGACAGAAGGAGGAGGGTGAGCTGTGGAGGGACGCAGGACAGAGGAGGAGGAGAGTGAGTACCCCTCGTATGCTGGTGTTAGGGGGGTCAGTGCAGTGACATCCTGGCCTGGGCCCGGACTGGGAGCAGTGTCCTCAGGGAGCAGGGGGTCCCCCAGTGCTGCCCTCTGTTCACTGGGGCACATTGAGAGGGGCTGCATCTGTACCTGGGAAACACCTCAGCATCCCAGGGTCTGCAAGCATCGCCTTCCCAGATGACACCTGCCAGCACCCTGAGAAATAAATGTGTTTAACGTCCTGCTGTGTGTGGCCATGATGGTGCCTGATTCTGCATCTCCAGGGCTTCTGGTCTGGGCTCAGACTCAGTTTCCCCATGCTTGGGGGCAGGGGTGAGGCTGGGCAGCAGAGCCTCCCCCATCCTGCCTACCCTTGTTCCCACACCTTGGGTGCTTAGACCCAGGCCCCGGCCACCCGCTGGGCTGGGTGTCAGCAGGTGGATACTGCAGGAGAGGCCCCCAGGGTGGGCGGATATAAGCAGCCTGCTGGGTATCTTGCCCTGGTCCCCACCCCTAGATGAGCTCCTTGATGGGGGGGGGTCTCAGACCTGGGCCTCGGGGGCAGCCCCCTCCCAGGAGACCCAGGACATCCACAGGGGCCTCTGGGTCCTGGTGAGGCCCTCACCAGGCAAGGGCCACCTTTCCTCCAGGTGGGCCTGGTGTATTGTCCCTGCTTGTCCCTGTAGCAGGACCAAGGGAATGGAGGGGGACAGCCTTTCTGGGGACATAGCAGTGCTCACCATTGTCCTGCCAGCCATCCCCCTGGGCCTGGGCCCTTGTCCATGGCCAGTGAGGTCCCTGGATGGGTTCTCAGGGTCTTCACCCCCATTTACAGGTGCTGGGGACACCCAGCCAGGCCAGGTGCTGCCCAGAGGGACCAGGGATAAAGAAGCTGCCTTGGGCATGGTGTGGTGTGGATAGATGGGGGCTGATGCTGGGGTGTGCAGGGCTTCTGGGTGCCACCTCCACCCAGACTCCGGGACCCTCAGGTGGCAGTGCCCTCAGCATGGCCTGAGTCCATCTGCCCTCTGGGGGTTCTGGGTTTCCCTCTCCCCCTGGACAGTCCTGGGCGTCCTCTGGCACTTTCTGGGTCCTCTCTGGGTGGTCCCACCCCCCTTCCCCTTGGACTGTCCTGGGTGCCCTCTGGCACTTTCTGGGTGTCCTCTGGGTGGTCCCAAGTCCCCTTCTCCCCCCTGACAGTTCTGGGTGCTCTCTGACACATTTTGGGTGCCCTCTGGGTGGCCTCAAGTCCCCCTCTCCCCCCCCGACAGTCCTGGGTGCCCTCTGACACATTCTGGGTGCCCTCTGGGTGGTCCCAAGTCCCCCTCTCCCCGCTGGATTGTCCTGGGTGCCCTCTGGTGCATCCTGGGTCCCCTCTGCCTAGTACTCCAGGATGCTAGTCTGAGCAGGGTTCCCCACCAGGTGGGGTCCTGGCCTTACCCACACCATCGCTGCCCCCCACCCCCACCCCTGGCCACCCAGAGCCTCTGCCCTTTGCCTCCCTGGGGCTGGGGGTGAAACCAAATCCCGGCTCTGACACTCGGGCTATTTTGGAGCTGGGCTGGGCTGGCCGGCCGTGGGGGCGGGCCCAGCCTTCTCCAGCTGACAGCCTCCGCCTGTCCTTTCGTCCCCATCCAGTCTGAGGATCGGCCAGAGAGTGGGCTGCTGGGTGGGAGCTGTGTCAGTCCTGGGCCTGTGGAGGGAAGTGAGACCCAGCAGCCCCTGCCCACCGTTTGCAACCTCCACGTGGGAGCTGCTCCCAGCCTCCCCGTAGAGACAGGTGAGGAGGCCTACAGGCAGGGTGGGGGCTGAGCGGGACCTAGGCCCTCTCCCCCAGGGCTGTCTAGTTGAAGGTCAGGACTCTGGGGTACAGAGGGGCCTGGTGGGGGGGTGTCCAGACAGGCCGTGTAGCTCCATGGGTTGGGGCCCTGGAACCCAGCCCCTGATGCCCTGGTGACTTGAGCTGGGCCCTCACGCAGGGTGGGAGGTCAGGGGCCATGCAGGCCTCCACCTTCTCCTCCGCTGCCCCCTGCTCAGAGGGAGGCCTGGGGGTCTGGCCGGCCCTGCCCCCAGCCTGCTAGGATGGATGCCCGCTGACAGCTGGGGCTATTTTTGGCCTGTTGGCTCAGCAGAGGGGACAGCCAGAGGGGCACTGACACCTGACTCCAGGAAAGAATTTCCCCGGGAGTTCGGGAAGCCGCCAGCCCAGGGGTTTAGGGAAGGTCTTTTCTAGAAGAGGGGTGCGGGGGACAGGGGTGGGGGCAGCAGGGGCTCCAGGGAGGCGTCAAGGTTGTGCAGTGAGGCTGCCAGCAATTCCCCATGCTTGGTTCATCTGGGAAATGGTCCAGGGGCCCCATGAGGAGGCCCCAAGGTTGGCCAAGTTCTAGAAAAACAAGGATGGAGGCTGTAAGCAGGGCTCAGGTTGGTCCTAGGGACTTGGAAGCTCTGGAGGCATGACCCCAGATGGGGCTGGGGAGGTCATGGTCGCCATGTAGCCATGTGGAGGGAGGCTCCTGCTAGTGGCAGATTGGGGCCTCCAAGGGGTGAGGAGTGTGAATGGGGTCCACACTGAGGGAGGAAGGGGCTTCCCTGGGAGGCTGGGGCTGAGGTGCTGGCCCCGTGTCCCCTCCTGAGTGTCCCGACTCTGCCAGCACTGTTGCATGTTCATGCCCAGGAGGAGTTCTGCCCCCCGCTCCAAGGTTCTGGAGTCCTTGGTCAGCATCTAGGGTGCCATGGCCCTACTGAGCAGAGGGGGTACCTGCCTGGAGGGGGCCCCCAGGCCTCATGGGCTGCTGCACTGAGCTGGGGAACACAGGCCCCAGGCCAGGGAGCCGGGCATCAGCACCAGCCCTGAGGCCTTCGAGGATCTTGGGGTCTCCACCCACCCTTGCAGGCCAGAGTGCTATCACCTGCCGAGTGCTGGGCTGGCTCCCTCTAAGCACGTGCAGTGATGGGAGCTCCCTCTCCCATCCTGGTCCTGGCTCCCAGAGGCCACAGCTGTGGAGGTGGCCCTCTGACCCTGTCCACTTGTGAGCTCAGAGCACCTAGCTCCCATACCTGCTCCCGCAGTGGCTGGTGGGGGGCGTGAGGTGCACTGTCCTGGCTCAGGGGACCCCCGGGCCAACTGCAATCCAAGGGAGGGTCACTGGGAGCTCAGAGCGCAGGGCCTCTGGAGACCTGGTGTCAGAGTAACCCTTCCCCAGAGGGACATCGAGGCCCAGGAGGGCGTCCATGGAGGCGGGGCCCGGGTAGCCACTCGCCTGGGTCCTCCCAGCCCCAGAACTTGGCCAGGCAGTGGGGGGTAGGGGACAGAGGTGCTGACTGCACAGTGAGTCAGCAGGCTGCTGCAGACTCACCTCCTCGAGGGGGATTAAGGGGATTAGGCCCTGAATCACAGGATGTCACCCCACTCGTCCCCAGTGGGCAGTCCGTGCTGGAAGCCCAGCCCGGGATTGAGGAGGGCGCTCAGGCGTTTGGGGCCAGCCCTGAGCCCAACAGGCTGCTGTTCTTACTGAAGCCAGCGGTGGGTGGGGTGGAGGGTAGGCCAGGCCCAGCTCACCTAACCCACCTGTGCTGAAGGCCAGCCAGGGCCTGCCGGGATGGGCAGAGGCCAGTCACCTGAGGCCTTTGGTTTGTGTGGTGCCAACCCTGTCCCCGCAGGGAGCCAGCCAAAGTCTGTAGGTTGACCGGGCCCTGCCGGCCAACCTGGCCAGCCTCAGCCTGGACCGCCCAGATTCTTCCGGAGTACTCTGTGCCTGTCCTTCCTGCCCGCTGACTGTGGGCTGTCCCAAACCAGGAGCAGGTGCTCGCAGGAAGGGGGTGTGGGCAGCTCGTGGGCTTCAGCACTCAGACGGTGGCAGGATTTCCATTCTTCCCCTGCTCGGGGTTAAAGGGACCTGGAACTCCCAGGAGAGGCACTGGCAGCTGCAGGGGGGACTTCTGTCATGGGCACTGCCTGGGCAAGCAGGGCAGGGACCCACAGAGGAAAGGAGAGCCTCCTGGGGTGGAGAATCCTGTGACCTCGGGAGTAAGCAGTCAGAGAGGGGCTGGGCTAGCAGCAGGTGCCCAGCACAGGCCTCCCAGGGCCCGCCCTGCCCAGGTGGGAGAACTGCCTCCTCTTGGAGCAGGAGACACAGGCAGATTGGAGGTTCAGCATCCAGGAGGCTGCGGTGTGTCAGGGAGGGGGACTGGTGCCTGGATGCAGCTGGGGGGTGGGGCACACACAGGCAGGTCTGTGTGGACCCAGGTAGGAAGGACATTGGTGGACAGAAAGAGGGCCAGCCAGGCTGCTGTTGTGATGTTTGGAGATGGTGCTCAATAGGACCTCGAGTTGGGCTGTGGGGCTAGAGCTGGGGGTCAGGAGGAAGAGGTACCCAACTGTGAGCAAAGCCTGTGGTGGGGGGTGTGGCAACAGACCACGAATGCCCAGAAAGGGTTAAATCTGAGTTTCTGGTCCATGGTGCCTCCTGGTGACTCTACGTATGGGGTGGGGGTGGGGGTGAGGGGTGGGGGGTGAGACCTCCGGGTCCTTCAGGAGGTCTGAATGGGGAATGGCCAGGTGGGGCACAGGTGCGGGACTCGGCCACCACCTGGGTCTCCTCCCCACTCTGACCTTCTGCCAACCCACTCGCAGGTCCCTCCCGCCGCCCCCCCCCACCCCCGCCGCTGCCATGGATCACTCATTCAGCGGGGCCCCCCGATTCCTGACCCGGCCCAAGGCCTTTGTGGTGTCGGTGGGCAAGGACGCCACACTGAGCTGCCAGATCGTGGGCAACCCGACGCCGCAAGTGAGCTGGGAGAAGGACCAGCTGCCGGTGGAGGAGGGTGCGCGCTTCCGCCTGGCCCAGGACGGCGACCTGTACCGGCTCACCATCCTGGACCTGGCGCTGGGCGACAGCGGTCAGTACGTGTGCCGCGCGCGCAACGCCATCGGCGAGGCCTTCGCGGCTGTCGGGCTGCAGGTGGACGCTGAGGCCGCTTGCGCCGAGCAGGCGCCCCACTTCCTGCTGCGGCCCACGTCCATCCGCGTGCGCGAGGGCGCCGAGGCCACCTTCCGCTGCCGAGTGCGCGGCTCGCCGCCCATGGCCGTGAGCTGGGCCAAGGACGGCCGGCGCTTGGGCGCGCCGGACGAGCCCCGCGTGCGCGTGGAGGCCCTCGGTGAGGCGAGCGCGCTGCGCATCCGGGACGCGCGGCCCCGCGACGGCGGCACCTACACAGTGCGCGCCGAGAACCCGCTGGGCGCCGCCAGCGCGGACGCGGCGCTCTCGGTGGACGCGGACGCGGACGCCGCCAGCCCGCCCGGGGCCTCCACGGCCGCGCTCCTGGCGCACCTGCAGCGGCGGCGCGAGGCCATGCGCGCCGACGGCGCCCCAGCCTCGCCTCCCGGCTCCGGCACGGGCACGCGCACCTGTACGGTGACCGAGGGCAAGCACGCGCGTCTTAGCTGCTACGTGACCGGTGAGCCCAAGCCAGAGACGGTCTGGAAGAAGGATGGGCAGCTGGTGGTGGAGGGCCGGCGACACGTGGTGTACGAGGACGCCCAGGAGAACTTCGTGCTCAAGATCCTCTTCTGCAAGCAGGCGGACCGGGGCCTCTACACCTGCACGGCGTCCAACCTGGTGGGCCAGACCTACAGCTCCGTGCTGGTGGTCGTGCGAGGTGAGCTCCCCTCGCGGGCCGCACTATCCCCGCGCGGCCCCTTCCCCGCTCCTTTCCACCGAGAAGGAAATCCGCGGTGGAATCCGGAGTCCTGGCGGCTCTGGCGTTTGCGAGTCACAGGAGTGAACAGCAAAGCGCTTTATCCTCGGCGCCCCCTCCCCCCAGGCACTCCGCCCTCACGGGATGCTGAGGGGTCTCTCGCTGGCAGGGTGGGGACAAAGGCAGGCCAGAGGCTGTGGCCGCTGAGCCTGAACACCCTTCTGGACCGCTGTTCGGGCTTCTGTCGAGGGCCCTGGTAGGGGTCTGGGCCTCCCCCAGGGTCCGGGGGCAGAGGACGGGAAGCACGATCGGGTTTTGTGGGCGAGGCTCCTGACCTCCACTTCTGACCCGCAGTAGTCTCCCAGGGCGGGGAAGTGGCCCCGCTCCCCAGGGTTGGGGGGTCTGCAGGCAGCAGACGCTGTGCGGGGGAAGTGCTAGGGCAGCAGGGCTGGGCCCGCGGTCTCAGCGGGCCCAGGGGCTCGGGGCGGGAGGCTGGCGGGGCCACGGGCCCACGGGGTGTTGCGCCCGGGAGCAGCGTCCCTGGGCTTTTTGTGGCTTTACGTGCCCGTTTCTCCTCTTCCAGACATCTTATATTAAGAGGGAGGCTCTAGGTTCTGTGCCCTCTCCTCTGCCCCCTCCCGTCCCCCCCCCTCCCCATCCCTACAGCCTCTCAGCCTTCCCGTCCCCTGCCCCCGCTCCAGCCCTAACCCTCACCCCGCCGCGCCCGGGGCACTCCCCTGCGCCTCCCCGCCCCTCCCCGCCTCACGCGCTCCCCCTCTCCCCGCAGAGCCCACCATGCCCTTCCAGAAGCGACTGCAGGACCTGGAGGTGCAGGAGAAGGAGTCGGCTACGTTCCAGTGCGAGGTGCCGCTGCCGTCCACGGAGGCCGCGTGGTACAAGGAGGAGACGCGGCTGTGGGCTAGCGCCAAGTACGGCATCGAGGAGGCGGGCACCGAGCGCCGGCTGACCGTGCGCAACGTGTCGGCGGACGACGACGCCGTCTACATCTGCGAGACTGCCGAGGGCAGCCGCACTGTGGCCGAGCTGGCGGTGCGAGGTGGGCGGCGGTTGGGGGTGGGGAGAGGGAAGGGGGGGCAGGAGGTGCGCCGGGAGGAGGAGCCCGCGCCCCCTCCCCCTGACCATACCCCGCCCCCGCGCCCTGCCTTCCGCAGGCAACCTAGTCCGGAGGCTCCCCAGGAAGACCGCGGTGCGCGTGGGGGACACGGCCATGTTCTGCGTGGAGCTGGCCAGGCCTGAGGACCCCGTCCACTGGCTGAGGAACCAGGAGGAGGTGGTGGCTGGGGGCCGAGTGGCCATCACCACGGATGGCAGGTGCCACTCGCTAACCATCTCCAAGTGCACCCTGGAGGACGTGGGCGAGGTGACCTTCACGGCCGGGGACTGCCGGACATCCACTCAGTTCTTTGTGTCTGGTAAGGGCCCTGGAGAGCCCCCCTTCCTCTGTCCACCCAGCCCTGTGCCCCGGGGTCTGCCACAGGGAGGGTTTGGGGGTTGGGCCAACGCATCCCACCCCTGGTTTGCTGCCCTCCTTCACGGTGGTCACCCCAGGTGACTGCGAAGTAGGAGTGCTGGTGATTCCCCACTCTGCAAACCAAGTTAGAAGGTAGAGGTTGTTCTAGAAGCACACGCGTGGGTGAGGCAGGTGTGGGGCATTGTGGGTGACCATGTCCTCTTTCTGGGCCCTTTGGTCTCAAATTTGTAGGTTGGGAGGTAGGACCCTCCCCCAGGGGCCCCTACTGGGCCAGCCCTTTGTTGGGGAAGGAATGTGCCCCAGCACATGGACCTGAGGAATGTGCTCTGCTGTGGTCACTGCCTAGCCTGAGCCTTGGATGCACAGATGGGGTTTGTCCCTAGGCCACCTGGGCTGTGTTTCCCCGAAAGCCAGAGCACTCTTTCCACCACAACCAAATCAACGGCCAGAGGGCTGGAGCCAGGGGTCACGAGCCCACAGCCTCCATTGGCATTGCTGTCCCCTTGGGCCATGGCCATTCCAGACCTTGGAAGCAGCCCCCTCATTAGGGCTGGGGGTTGCGTAACACCTTGCTGGGTTGACCTGGGACCCAGGGGTTGAGGGAGCTCCGAGTTGGTGACATCGGTGAGCTGTGCTCTTCCTAGCCCCTAGGAAGCTGCCCCTGCAAGCCCCTGAGGCCCCCGTGGTAAAGGCCAGGACGGAGTGCTCTGTGACCCTCGGCTGGTCCCCACCACCCCACGGAGACTGCCCTGTCCCTATCGACGGCTATGTGGTGGAAAAGAAGCGGCTTGGCGCCTACACCTGGAGCCGGTGCCACGAGGCTGAGTGGGTGGCCACACAGGAGCTGACCATAGCCAACACGTCTGAGGAGGGGGACTTCCAGTTCCGGGTGTCAGCTGTGAACAGCTTTGGCCACAGCCCCTACCTCGAGTTCCCGGGGACTGTCCACCTGGGTAGGTGTGGGCACTCTGGGGGTGGGCTCTGTGGGCTTCCTGGGGGAGGGAGCTCTTGGGCCCCAGCTCTAGGGGAGGAGGTGAGGTGGGCAGAGGCGGGCCCCTTCCTGAAGCCCTCACCCTGCAGCCCCCCAGCTGGCCGTGAAGACACCTCTGAAGGCAGTGGCAGCAGTGGAGGGTAGCGAGGTGACCTTCTCCGTGGACCTCACCTTGGCCTCGGTGGGCGAGTGGTTCTTGGACGGGCAGGCCCTGAAGGCCAGCAGTATGTATGTGATCCGCCAGGATGGCACTCGCCACACCCTCACCATCCGTGCCGTGTCCGCCAGCCTGCAGGGCGCTGAGCTCAAGTTCATGGCCAACGGCATTGAGAGCGGCATCCGCATGGAGGTCCGAGGTAGGCGACCCAGCTATGACCCCCAGGCCTCTGTCCTTGGGGTGGGGCAGGTGGGCTGGTAGGGGGTCTGCTGGATGAGGCAGGGCTGCAGAGGGGAGGCTGGGGTATGAGTGGAAGGGGGCACAGAGCCTCGGTGTCTCCCCGACTCCCATTCCTCTCTGCTCATTCCGTCACTCTGCAATCTTGTCCCTTCCTTTCTGGCTCCTCTCTTTTTTTTTTATAAATTTATTTTTTATTGGTGTTCAATTTGCCAACATATACAATAACACCCAGTGCTCATCCCGTCAAGTGCCCCCCTCAGTGCCCGCCACCGAGTCACCCCCACCCCCCGCCCTCCTCCCCTTCCACCACCCCTAGTTCGTTTCCCAGAGTTAGGAGTCTTCCATGTTTTGTCTCCCTTTCTGATATTTCCCACTCATTTTTTCTCCTTTCCCCTTTATTCGCTTTTACTATTTTTTTATATTCCCCAAATGAATGAGACCATATGTTTGTCCTTCTCCGATTGACTTACTTCACTCAGCATAATACCCTCCAGTTCCATCCACGTCGAAGGAAATGGTGGGTATTTGTCGTTTCTAATGGCTGAGGAATATTCCATTGTATACATAGACCACATCTTCCTTATCCATTCATCTTTCCATGGACACCGAGGCTCCTTCCACAGTTTGCATTTCTGGCTCCTCTCTGTTCCCCTCTGCCTGACACTCCCTTTTGTTCACTCTCCACTGCCTCTCCTCCCTCCCCCTGTGTCCCCTCCCCTACCCATCTGTCCACCCGTCTGTCCCCTCCACTCCTGCTTTGTCCCCTCCCCACCCATCCCCTTTCCCCTGTCCGCTCCTTCTCTGTTTCCTTTCCCTCTGTCCCCTCCTCTCTCTGTCTATACACCTTCTGTCCTCCTGTATGTGGCCCCCAGAGGCCCCAGGACTGACCGCCAGGCCTCCGGTGGCCACTGTGAGGGAGGTGCTGGCCCAGCTGCATGAAGAGGCACAGCTCCTGGCTGAGCTGTCAGACCAGGCAGCGGCGGTGACATGGCTGAAGGATGGCCACGTGTTGCCACCAGGCCCCAAGTACGAGGTGCAGGCGTCAGCTAGGCAGCGGACCCTGCTGGTGCGAGATGTGGTGCGAGACGACGCTGGCCTGTACGAATGCATCAGCAGTGGGGGCCGCATCGCCTACCAGCTCTCCGTGCAAGGTGACGTCTCCCGCGTGTGTGTCTGGGTCCTCATGGGCCCACTGCCCCTGTCTTGATCGTGGGACATGCCCCAGCTCTGGGCAGCCTTGAGGGGGTCTGAGCAGTGGGAGCCCTGCAGGGGTGGGTGACCTGTGGGCAGGGCTGTGGAGGGCGTTGGGGGCAGCCCTGGGGGGTGGGGGGGTTAGAACTCAGTAGCCCAGCCAGTTCTGCCTCCTAAAGGGCCCTGGTCCTGCCTCCAAGGGGGCCCTGGTCCTGCCTCCGAGGGGGCCTTGGTTCTGCCTCCGAGGGGGCCCTGGCCGGGGTGAGGCCTCCCAGGCCATGCTGCCTGACCTGCCCGTGTGCCCTTGCAGGGCTTACTCCCTTCCTGCACAAGGACACAGCTGGCGGCTGCGTGGAGGCCGTGGCTGGAGGCCTGGCCCACTTCGAATGTGAGACCTCTGAGGCCCACGTGCGTGTGCGCTGGTACAAGGATGGCATGGAGCTGAGCCGCTCCAGCCAGCGCTTCTCACAGGAGGACGTGGGCACGCGACACCGGCTGGTGGCAGCCTCAGTCAGCAGGCAGGACGAGGGGACCTACTCGTGCCACGTGGGCGAGGACTCCGTGGACTTCCAGCTGCGTGTCTCTGGTGAGCTGCAGCCCCAGATGCCTGGGAGGGGTACTTCCTTCTGGATTTGGGAGAAGAAACTTCCCAGAGAACTAACATTTAGATGAGAAAAGATGTGGATGCGGAAAATAAAAAGACAAGGAAAGTTGCAGCCCCTTTCTCCCTTTTGAAGACGAGGCAGTGACACTGACAAGACCCGAAAGGTGCTGGAAGTGTCCTCAGCAGCTTAGGTTGGGCTCTTGATGCCTGTGGCTCTGGCTCTTTCTAGAAGCTACTGGGGCCTCAGTGCTGGCCCTTGGTGGGGTCTCAGCCACAGCCCCCCACCTCCCGTCTGCCCCAGACGGTGTCCTGGCTGCCCATCATGGTGTTCGGAGGCTGCTCCCCAGCAGGCCCAGGAGGGGTTAGGGCTTTGGATTCCCCTGTGCCTGAGAAGGGTCCCACCAGCTGCACCTGGGGGGGTGTGCAAGGCTGCCCTGAGTCCAGAGCGTGTGTACCCGGGCTCCAGGGCTCAGAGAATGTCATCTCTGGGGCCTCTGACGCTGTGTGTCCCCATGTCCCCAGAGCCTACAATGGTGTTTGCCAAGGAGCAGCCAGCACGCAGTGAGGTGCAGGCCAAGGCGGGCGGCAGCGCCACGCTGAGCTGCGAGGTGGCCCAGGCCGGGACAGAGGTGACGTGGTACAAGGACGGGAAGAAGCTGAGTGCGAGCTCCAGGGTGCATGTGGAGGCCCAGGGCTGCAGCAGGAGGCTGGTGGTGCAGCAGGCGGGGCGGGCCGACGCCGGGGAGTACAGCTGCGAGGCCGGGGGCCAGAAGGTGTCCTTCCGCCTGGACGTCGCAGGTCAGTTGACAAGGAGGTGTGACCACATTCCAGGAGCAGGCCTGGAGGAGACGTTGGCTGGGGGCTGGACTGAGGTCAACAGCTGGGTCAGGCCTGTGTCAGTCAGTGAGCTAATGCCCAGTAACAAACACCCCAGACCTTGGAGCAGCTGGCTCTGCTTAGGGCCTCAGGAAGGGTGCATGTCTGCCCCCAAGGGGTGTGCTGAGGCAGGACCCCTTTGGCTGGGGCTGTGCATTTGGCTCAGAAAAATGAGCCTCTGGCCTACTGTCTGGGCAGTGGGATGTCCAGGGTGGAGGAGGTGGGCCTGGGGTCAAGTGTCCAGCCTGGGTCTGACTTGGGACCCCCCTGTGCCCATGTGGGGTGGATGCATCCTGAGTCCGAACGCTCCCTTCAAGGCAGGCAGTGCTGGGGTGTGGAAGGGGTCCGATCTCAGCCCTGCCGGGTGATCTTGGTCAGATTGTTGCTGATGTGTGCCCCCCAAATTCCTATCCTGCTGGACCCCAGAGTGTGGCCCTATGTAGAAATGGGGTCTTTGCAGAGGTGACCCAGGCAGGGATCTCGAGGTGAGAGCACCCTGGTGCCGGGCGGGCGCTGAGTCCTATGACAGGTGTCCTTACAAGAGAAGGAGATTTGAGATGACCATGTGGTGACAGAGGCAGAGACTGGGGAGACATGGCCACGAGCCCAAAATGCAAGGGGCCCCTCCAGGTGGAGGGGTCCTACTGGAACCTTAGAGGGAGCACAGCCACGACACCTTGACTGAGGACTCCTGGCCTCCAGACCTGGGAGGGGACAGAGCCTGGTGTCCTGAGCCCCCTGTTAGTGACCATTTGATCCTGCCTCCCTGAAACCTCATGAATTTCCTCCCTGTGACTCAGTTGTCCCATATGTGAAGTGGTAATGGAGTTTCTGGGGCTTTGCTGAGACACTGTGCCCACAAGACCCCCTGGCCCTCTGGGGGCAGCTTGGGCTGTGAATTGCTGAATATTCACAGCTGCCTGTGAATTCTGACTTCCTGACCAAGGTAGGCAGGGGAGGGGACCAGGGCTGGCCACGCAAGACAGCCAGGGCATAGGCCCTGCAGGGTGAACCCAAGTGTCGTAGGCGGGTAGCCCTCAAGGAGGGCCCATACGCTGAGGTCTGGAACATTCTGGAAGGCGCTGGCTGGTGGTGTATGAGGCTTGGAACAGGAGGCTGAGCAGGAAGCAGGGCCAGGAGAATTGAGTAAAACACCATAAACCTGTGCTTTCCCGATTCCGCGATTTTGAGTACGTTGCAAGGTTGTATGCTCCAGCACCACCTCATTCTAGAACGCTTTCACGACTATGAAATGCCAGCAGTATGCCACCGCGTGTGTGCTCCCCCAGCCCCTGGCAACCATAGGTCGGTTGTGTGCCCCTGGCTTTGCCGGTCGGGGACACTACATGGGACCATGTGCCATGTGGCCCCTCAAGTCGGGCCCTTCGCACGAGTGTGGTGCTTCCATGGCCCCCATGTGCTGTGCTGTGCGTGCGTGCTTCATGCATACAGCCTGGTGACCTCCTGCTCTGTGGACTGTGTCCTTTCCGCCAGCCGGCAGACGATGTGGTTGGTCCCACGCTGGGCTGTTAAGAACAGCGCTGCCAGGACATTTTGTGCGAGTGAATGCTTCTATTTGGTTCCCTTGGGATGGCTTGGTCATGCAGCGATTTCATGCGTCTGCCCTGGAAGTGCTCAATTTCCCACACTGGCTGCCCTCTCACACTCCCACCAAGAGTGTGCAAGAATCCATGTGCTTAACGTCCTCACCAATACTCATTATTTTCATCTATTTATTTTTTGCTTGTCGCCACATTGGTGAGTGTGAGGTGACATCTTGTTGTGGTCTGGGTGTGCATTTCCCTGGCAAGGAGTGCCGCTGAGCATCCCTTCAGGTACATGTCAGCCATCTGGGTGTCTTCTGTGGACAAATGTCTATTCAGGTTCTCTGTCTCATTCTTACATAGTGGTGTTTATCTTTTTATGGTTGAGTTGTAAGGGTTCTTTACATATTCTGGACACTAGGTCCTTATCAGATACAAGATTTCCAGATATCTTCTCCCATTTATTTTGTCAATAGTGTCTCTTGATGCACAGAAGTTTTTAAGTTGTGATGAGTTTCAATGTACCCGCTTTGGTTGCTTGTATGTTTTGTGTCCTATTTTGGAAACCAGTGCCTGATCCAAGGTCACACCAACTGACACCTGTTTTCTTCTAAGAGTTGTCTAGTTTTACTCTTACATTTAGGTCTTCGGCCCATTTGGAGTTAGTTTTTCTGTGTGCTGTGACGATGAGACCCACCTCCACCCTCTGCATGTGGAAATCCAGGTGTTCCAGCACTGTTTGTTGAACAGATATCTTTTCTTCCCTGTTAAATTTTCTTGGCACATTTGTCAAAAATCAGTTGATCACCAATGTCAGGTTTTAGTTCTGGATTCTCAGTCCTTTTTCACTGACATATATGTCAGTCCATCTGTCTTATGTCAATACCACAGTCTAGGTCACTGTGGCTTTGTGGTGAGTTTTTTTTTTTAATAAATTAATTTTTATTGGTGTTCAATTTACCAACATACAGAATAACACCCAGTGCTCATTCCGTCAAGTGTCCCCCTCAGTGCCCGTCACCCATTCACCCCCACCCCTTGCCCTCCTCCCCTTCCACCACCCCTAGTTCGTTTCCCAGAGTTAGGAGTCTTTATGTTCTGTCTCCCTTTCTGATATTTCTTGTGGTGAGTTTTGAAATTGGGAAGTGTGGGTCCTCCAACTTTGTTCTTTTTATTTTATTTATTTTCTAAAAAAGATTTTATTTATTTATTAATGAGAGATACAGAGAGAGAGGCAGAGACACAGGCAGAGAGAGAGAAGCAGGCTCCATCCAGGGACTCCATCCTTGGTCTCCAGGATCACGCCCTGGGCCGAAGACAGGTGCCAAACTGCTGAGCCACCCACGCATCCCATGTTCTTTTTATTTTACTATTGTTTTCATTATTTGAGTTCCCTTGCATTGCCATGTGATTTTTAGGATCAGCTTTACAAATTTTACTAAAAGGACAGCTGGTATTTTGATGGTGATTGAGCTGAATGTGTAGACCCATTTGAGTTGCTATCTTAACAATATCAACCTTTCAGGACATAAATACAGGCTGCCTCTCTGTTTATGTAGGCCTTAAAATTTTTCAACAGTTTATAGTTTTTAGTGTGGAATACCTGTTGAGTTTGTTGCTAACTATTTTATTCTTTTTTTTTTTTAAAGATTTTACTTATTTATCCATGAGAGACACACAGAGAGAGACAGAGACAGAGAGAGAGAGACAGAGACACAGGCAGAGGGAGAAGCAGGCTCCATGCAGGATGCCTGATGCGGGACTCCATCCTGAGACTCCAGGTTCATGCCTCGGGCCGAAGGCAGATGCTAAACTGCTGAGACACCCAGGGATCCCCTAAGTATTTTATTCTTTCTGACACTTCTTTAAATGGAATTGTTCTTAAATTTTATTTTGGGTTAGTTCATCACTAATACACAGAGATAGAGTGAACTTTTGAATATTGGTCTTGCGTCCTAAACCCTTGCTGAACTGGTTTATTCACATACTGATTTTTTTGTGGATTCCTAAGGATTTTTATTTTAGATACAAAAAGGTGTCACCTGTACGTGCAGCTAGTTTTACTATTTTATTTCCAGTCTGGCTACCTATTTATTTATTTATTTATTTATTTATTTATTAAAAGATTTTATTTATTTATTCATGAGAGACACAGAGAGGCAGAGACACAGGCAGAGGGAGTAGCAGGCTCCATGCAGGGAGCCCAATGTGGGACTTGATACTGGAACTCCAGGATCACGCCTTGAGCTGAAGGCAAGCACTCAACCACTGAGCCACCCGGGTGTCCCTCTCATTTTGTTTTTGGTTACCGATTTAATCTCTTTACTTATTGTAGGTGTGTTCAGGCTTTCTTTTTCTTCTGGGGTCAGTTTTGGTAGCTTGTGTGTTTCTGTGAGTTTGTCCATTTCATCTTCATCGTCCAACTCATTACCATGCACTTGTTCATGGTGTAAGTCTGTGCTGATGTCCCTGCATTGATTCTGTTGTAATAATCCAAGTCATCTAACTTTCTGTGTCTGTCTAGCTGATGGTTGGTCAATTTTGTTGGTTGTTTCAAACATCTCCCATTTTTTCTATTGTTTTTTTTTTATTCTGTGTTTCATTCATCTCAGCTGAGATTTCATTTCCTTCCTTCTAACCTTGGGTTTTACTTACTCCTCTTTTTCTAGTTTCTTAAGGTGTGAAATTGGGTTATTGATTTGTGCTCATGTTTTTTGACACAGGCCTATAATTTATAACTGTGAGTTTTCCTCCAAACACTGCACCTTATTAGTCTTGGTTGTTGTGTTTTCATTTCTGTCTATCTCAGAATATTTTCTAATTTTCCTTATAATTCTTCTTTAAGAGTGTGTAGTTGAATTTCCACAGACTTGTGAATTTTCCAGTTCTCCTTCTTTTTAAAAAGATTTATCTATCTATCTATCTATCTATTATTATTATTTATTTATTTATTTATTTATTTATTTATTTATTTATTTCTGAGGAAGAGAGGGAGCATGAGTGGGGAGGGGAGAGAAGGGGCAGAGGGAGAAGCAGGCTCCCTACTGAGCAAGGAGCCAGACATGGGGCTCCATCCCAGAACCCTTGGATCACGACCTGAGCCAAAGGCAGATGCTTCACCGACTTAGCCCCCCAGGCACCTCTCTACTTTTGCTTCCATTAATGACTTCTAGCTTTATTCCACTGTGTTTGGGAAAGATACCTTGTATTATTTCAATATCTTTACATTTATTGAGACTCATTTCCTGGGATAACCGGTGGTCTGTGCTAGAGAACCTCCTGTGTGCGCTTGAGTAAAGTGTCTCCTGCTGTGGTTGGGTGCAGAGTTTTGCAAGACAGCTGGGTCTACTTGGCGTATGCTGCCCTTTCCTTACCAAG